TGAAAGAGAGGGCCCGAAAGTTCTTTGAAAAGAACGAAAGACATCGAAACGTGCTGATTAGAGACGCCTTGGATTACGACCCAAGAACAATAAGGCGTCACAAAAGACCGAAAAGCCAGCTGCAACAAGAAGATATTTGGCCCTAGCAGCTGATGAGGCCAAAGAAAAGGGGAGAAGACCGACAATAGTTGTACACCCAAGAGGGGAAAGAACAGCCCGTGTACAACGGGTGGACAAAAAGAAGCCTGTCGATTGAGGTGGCCAGAGTCAAGCACGGACTCGGGGCTAACCTCAGGAGACGAATGACTTACAAAAATGACTGACTGACGACGACTGACTGACTCCAGTCGACGAGGAAAGAGCGAAGGCTCACCAACCTTTAGGAGGGGCTTAGGTCAAAAGCCCCCAGCGCAGGACCCCCAAGAAAAGAGGCCGTCCATAAAGTCGAGAACCGACAGTTGGAAGAAACGTCCACCACGCGCTTCCGCGACGCGTGCGCGATCGAGTCAAATTTCGGGAAAAAGGGGCAAAATTGGGGAAGGGGGGATAGCTCGTTCGGCAGCACACACTCGGGGAATGCGCAAGCGGCCTGAACCACGCAGCGCCACTCCAGGCCTTTGGGCGGGAGTGGGGGGAGGAGCAGATTGCTCTTCCCCCCACTCCTCAAGGGTTTGAGGTTGCCTGGAACAGGGGTGGTGGAGGGACCGCACAGGGTAGGAGGGGGGGGTTACCTCCGCTCACTATAATATTGTCCGTTGCAATATTCACGTCGCTGCTATATAGATAATTTATATTCAGTTATCTGAAATTTAACGTAATGGCGCGTACCAAGCAGACGGCTCGTAAATCCACCGGAGGTAAAGCTCCCAGGAAGCAATTAGCCACGAAGGCTGCCCGTAAAAGTGCTCCTGCTACTGGCGGAGTTAAGAAACCTCACCGTTATCGTCCGGGAACTGTGGCTCTCAGAGAAATTCGTCGTTATCAGAAAAGTACCGAATTGTTGATCAGAAAATTGCCTTTCCAACGGCTGGTCCGTGAAATAGCGCAAGATTTCAAGACCGATTTGCGATTCCAAAGTTCTGCTGTAATGGCACTCCAAGAAGCTAGCGAAGCGTACCTGGTCGGACTATTCGAGGATACGAACTTGTGCGCGATCCACGCTAAGCGAGTAACGATCATGCCGAAAGATATACAGCTGGCAAGACGTATTAGGGGCGAACGTGCCTAATGGAATTGACGGATTTACTATTTGCCGGAAAGAGAGAGAGAGAGAGAGAGAGTACGGCGTGCGATAATAGGTTATAAAAAAAAAAACGGTTCTTTTCAGAACCATCATATAGTATGTTCAGAAAAAGGGGATCGTGTATTATGTTAAGTATATCAGATTGTTGTTTGTACGCGTGCAATTTCGACACTATTATCGTGTATGCAAAATAGCGCTAAATGGTTATACGATAGTCGCTAGTTATTACCCGTTATCCTATATCGAAGGATTGTGGTGCTTTGTAGTAAACCGTTACATTGATATTATTCTAATAACGTACGAATTGTATGTATGTGTATGGAAGTAAAATAACTTATAAGTAGCATGTGATTATAATGTAGATAATTCGACATAATATAGATATTTTGCCGTATATATTGCTTAGGCGTTTAGGCAGGCTGTTAGCGTGTAATACGTAACATTAGGTACTTTCACGTAGATCAAAAGTCAGTAATGCGTACGTCTAATAATTAATATGTAGTAAGAGATGAATTTATAACTCGATCGCTCGTATATTATATATAATATTTTTCTACTCTGGCTTATTTATTACGAATAATAGATTGATGTCTCATATTATTATCTATTTTGTCATATTACAGGAGTAATGTTAAAATTATCGCGATATATTTCGCGACTGTGCACGTTCGGATGTACGCCAGACATACCTCCGTATAATTGCGATTATCTAAAATACCTTATCCATTAGCCGTATACCGACAGTATAATTGTATTACGAATAGTCGTAGATTGTTAATTTCATGAAATATCTAATTATATAACGTATTCGTATAATATAAATTAGATCAAAAAGCCGGACGATTAGGTCCAAAGCGGATACCTTGCACGTTTCACCTTATAATTTTATCGTGTACGTAGCGTACGTGATCAAGTCGCGAAGTTAAATGTGTATTTCAAATTATGCAGATTTCATATTCGTTCAGGTTTTAGCTGTTGCTCGTATGCAATTATATCAGCGACTCAAAAAACCAACAGATACGACCGCAGGCTTGGCAGAATTGAAGCCGTCGAAATCGGTTTCGCTGCAAAGTCGGAGCGTTCAATGTTCGGTCCGACCGAAATGACTTGGGTCACGACGCTGAATTTACCTCTCACATTCATTCGACATTCGTTCTCTTAGCGAGATCGTCGATCAGTGATTGCAAAAGATCGCGCGTATACAATAATCTGTCTCCTCTTCACGACTCGTAAACATGGCAGATACGGAAAACCAGAATTACGCCGCGTCGGCTACGGCTACCGCGAATTCTGCGTCGCCGACGTCGCAGTCGTCTGCGAAAAAGGAGAAAAAACCGAAGAATCCGAGGGCGAAGCCGTCTCATCCTCCTACTAGCGAAATGGTCATCAACGCAATTAAAGGATTAAAAGAGCGTGGCGGGTCGTCTCTGCAAGCTATCAAGAAATACATAGCCGCTAATTACAAAGTAGACGCTGAGAAAGTTGCGCCTTTCATCAAGAGGTACTTAAAATCGTCCGTCGCGTCTGGAGCTTTAGTACAGACGAAAGGCAAAGGAGCTTCCGGATCGTTCAAGCTAGCTTCGTCATCGGCTGGCGGAGCGTCGAAAACTTCATCATCGTCAGCCGCAAAGGTTGGCGAAAAGAAGAAGAAATCCGCGACCGGCTCAAAGAAGAGCGGAACCGTAGCTAAGAGAGCTAGCGGTGCGAAATCTGCGAAGAAGGCATCTCCGAAGGCTAAGAAACCGGCGGTGGCCGGTGGTGCGGCCGAGAAGAAAGCTTCTCCAGCTAAGACAAAGAAAAGTGGGAAATCGGCGACGTCGGCTAAAGCTTCTTCTGCTGCACCTTCTGCAGCGGCTGCAAAAAAATCTCCTTCGAAGGCGAAGAAATCCAGCAAGGGAGCTCCGACCAAGAAGCCAAAAGCACCAAAACCGAAAACGGCGAAGGCTGCAACATCGCCAAAAAGGAAGGCCGCTTCACCCAAAAAGAAGAAATAAAAAAAAAAATTTAGACGTGTTGCAACGTCGTAGATTACGGCTACGTCGGTTCGAGACGTTATATTTATGCGAGAGGATGCTATACGTCCCCGCGGATTGAAAATGGCCCTTTTCAGGGCCACCACTATTACTATAAAAAGGATACAGAATATTTACGAATTAGCAATTTTGTATCGAAATATACATGTACAACTGCGGCTCGTACGTGCGTTGATGTTTTTTTTTTTTTTTTTTTTTTATTAAATTCGAGTATTATTCGTTTACGATTAGGTATTTATAAGCAAGTGGTAATGTTAGGCGTCGTCACCATCGATATTTGCTTTTAAGGGTATAAATAAGTATGTATTGTGTTTAATTAAACGAATGAACGTTAAACAGTCGATTGCGTCGTAAGGATATCCCCTTTTTTTACGCTTTCGTTTACCATTAAATAATCCGGTCGGGTCTTATATCAGACGTTATTGCTTTAGTGGTGTATGTATATCACGAATAATCATCTGGTATTCAAGTACCAATAATATATATGTTGCGCGTACGGTGATATCATTATCTTTACTTGATAACTTTAGTGGTTCTGAAAAGAACCGTTTTTATGTTGTAAGTTGTTGTTGATGTTGTTGTTGTCGTCGTAGTTACATATTACTTCGAACTGGTGTACTTGGTTACGGCTTTGGTACCTTCGCTGACGGCGTGCTTGGCCAATTCTCCTGGTAGCAATAGTCGAACGGCTGTTTGAATTTCTCTGCTAGTTATCGTGGCACGTTTGTTGTAATGTGCCAATCGGGATGCTTCCGCTGCGATACGTTCGAAAATATCGTTGACGAAGCTGTTCATGATGCTCATCGCTTTGCTGGAAATACCGGTATCTGGATGTACCTGCTTCAGCACTTTGTAGATGTAAATTGCGTAGCTTTCCTTCCTCCTGCGTTTCTTTTTCTTATCAGACTTGGAAATATTTTTTTGAGCCTTACCGGCCTTTTTAGCTGCTTTACCGCTAGTTTTGGGTGGCATCGCGTTTCGATTTACACAAAAAGTACGATCTTTACTGACACAATATCGTGATCTATAATGGAAAGGTGTGCGGATAAACGGCGAGCTTTAACAGCCACGACGTTACCGACATAGACTCCGCCCCTTACGGGTGACCGACAAACGAAAACGGTGATTGGTCGGAGTAGTTATATAAATATACTCGTACCTAAAGACATTGCCATCCCCAGTTCCGAGCTAGCAGCCGTCACGAGCATACACTTGTGCGACTGCGACCCACCCGGACATATTGAGCAATCTTATTGCAATTTTCATTGCGATAGATTGTTTGTTTGCCATCTACGATGGCAAAAATTGAGAAGCTGGCTAACCAGCTGAAAGAAAAGAAGGATGCGTTCGCCATGCTGGAAGAGCAGATGCGAAACCTGCAAGAAGCATTCTTGCAGGCCAGACAGGAAATTGAAGACCTGAGCGGGAAGCTCCGCAGGGCCAAGAAGAAGGCCGCAAAGAAGACAGGAGAAGAGGAGGAAGAGGACCACCAGGCGACATCGGACGAGATGGACGCCCAAGAAGAGGGCACTCAACAGACCGAAGGACCGAAGGAAGAAGAAGCCGAGAAGAGGACGGACGACACCGACTTCAGTGTCGCCACCAGACGGAGGAAGCGGGTGCGAGTTTCCTCCGAAGAAGAAGAAGAAGAACCCAGGCAGCGAAAGATGCCAGCTGCCACAAAGAAGAGTGGTCCTAGAGCAACCAGGACCACCGAGGCCCCCATGGCAGGAACAGGAGTTCCGCCAATCAACATCGAGGGCACCGCTGATTGGTCATCCTTGAGTAGGATGATGAACAGCAAGGGGATTCAATTCTCCAAAGCGAGGACGGCGGGTACCAGTGTGAAGGTATTCACAAATACACCAGCTGACTACCGTCAGCTAGTCGCACTGCTTGAATCCATCAAGCGGCCCTTCTTCACATATCAACTGAAGGAGGACAGGATGGACCAGAGGGTCATTCGTGGGCTTCCGAGAGAGATGTCAGTCAATGACATCAAAGAGGATCTGGAGAGCCAAGGCATCGCAGACGCCGTGGTTCAGCAGCTGACCTCAAGGACCACAAAGAAGCCACTTCCGCTCTTCCTCGTCAAGACGAAGATGCCGGAAAAGCTTGCAGAGATCCAGAGGCTGGCCATGCTCACGGTCAGCTTCGAGAGGAAGAAAAAGTCTTCCGAGCCCAGCCAGTGCTACCGCTGCCAGCGGTACGGGCACACACAGCGGAACTGCCGTCTCGCTGAACGGTGCGTTAAGTGTGGAGAGGACCACAACAGCACCAGCTGCAGTCTGCCAGCGCCGCCAACAGGGCAACGAAACGCCAAGTGTTGCCTCTGTGGAGAAGGCCACCCCGCCAACTACAAGGGATGTAGTAAGGCGCCGAAGAAAGCTGCTTCTGCCCCCAAAGCAGTCCCCACCACAAATAGGACTTCTTACGCCCAAAAAGTGAAGAAGCCTATGTCCACTTCTGCCCCAGCAGCCGCCACTGCTACTGGAACTACTGCGCAGAAGCAACACGGCGATGACAGACTGCTAGCAATGATGCAAGCCATCATAACCCGCCTGGATGCACTCGAGGCCAAGATGCAAGACAAGCACTAGACCCGAAATGTCTACAGGTCAAAACGTAGAATCTCTACGCATTATCTCCTGGAACATCAACGGTTTCAGGGCACGGAAACCAGAAATCCAGGAGATACTAGACCAGTACCAACCAGAGGTGATGGCCATCCAAGAAACGAAGTTGGATGCTGCCCATAGTCTGACGTTCCCGCGGTACGAGACGTACCGGTACGACAGAAGGGGCAGAGGTGGAGGAGTCGCATTACTCGTCAAACGTACCTTGACGAGTCATGTCCTCGACGATGCCGCAGACATAAATGGGGACGGAATCACGGTCCAGGTCCATCACAACCACCGTCCCTACAGAATCACCTCCCTATATGTGCCACCAGGGGAGGCCCTAGACGAAGATGACATCGCTGACCTCCTGAGAGGCCCAGGAGCACGCATAGTCATCGGAGATCTAAACTGCAAGTCTCCGGCTTGGAACAACAACGTCGAAGACAGGAATGCAAGGCAGCTCCAGGAACACGTCGATGCCCTGGCGGGGGTCATCGTCGGTCCGGAGCAACCAACCTACATTCCATTCGGCCTTGGGCGACCTGCGGTACTGGACATAGCCATCCTCCGCAACATCAGAGAGGAGTTCGAGATAGAGACCCTGGTGGAAGGATCGTCGGACCACAATCCGATTCTACTAACACTTGGTACAGGGTCTAGAACTCGAGATAGCTTGAGCACCAAACGGACGAACTGGAACCTTTACAAATCCAACGTCCAGAGGAACATCACTCAAATTCCAACCATCCGATCAGCGGAGGAACTGGACAACGCAGTAGAGGAGCTGGAGAATGCTGTCCTGCGAGCGCACGAGGGCAGCACCCGCTCCGAGACTACGGCAGTTCCTAGATACCTAAATGGTCCAGCACCGCACCATATTAGGCACCTGATCAGGGAGAACAGAAGACTCAAGCGAGAACATCTCCAGCTGTTGACAGAGGAGTCGAGAGTTGCGCGAAACAGAGCATCGTTAGCTCTGAAGAACGCACTCGCGGAACTCCAAAACAACAGATGGAATGCAGCCTGTGCAGAACTAGAGACCCAGGATGGTACGGCCTGGTCTATGCAGCGAAAATTTCGTCGTCAGCGCACCACGATCCCCACTCTTCACGGCCAACGCGGCTTGGCCTACTCCAGTGAAGAAAAAGCCGAAGCATTCGCCGATTCGCTAGAATCCGAATGCAGACTCAATTACCATGAAGACGAAGACGACAACCACGAGGAGGCCGTGGAAGTCGCAGCCGAAAACATGAGGAGTCGACCACCTGGCCAGGAGACGGATCACCCCTCCAGTCCGGAGGAAATCCGTCTGATCATCCGCAGGTTGAAGGTCAGAAAGGCGCCGGGAAGGGACGGCATCAACAATAGGATGCTGAAGAACCTTCCCACCAAAGGCATTGCTGCGCTCACCAACATCGCCAATGCCACTCTGAGACTTAACCACTTCCCGCGGCGGTGGCGGGAAGCCCAGGTTATAATGCTCACCAAGCCAGGCAAGGACCGGAAGTTGCCCCAGAACTACCGGCCCATCAGCCTGGTTTCCTCGGTGGGCAAAGTAGTCGAAAAGGCTATCGCCGTTCGACTAGAGAAGCAGGCAGAAGAACTGCAACTTCTCCCCCCAGAGCAATTCGGCTTCAGATCCTCCCACAACACGGAACTCCAAGCGCTACGACTGACGGAAAACATCACCAGCGGCTTCAATCTCCAGGAGGCAACCGGTCTCGTCCTGCTGGACGTGGAACGAGCCTTCGACCGAGTTTGGCACGATGGACTCATCGCCAAAATGGAAGCCGCCGGAATCGATGCGAACATGTGCCAACTGATCCAGAGCTATCTAACACAAAGATGGTTCACGGTGAAGATTGGTACATGCCATTCAACAAGACGTCAGCTGGAAGCAGGCGTGCCCCAGGGGTCAGCCTTAGCCCCCCTGCTCTACAACATCTATACTTACGATGTGCCGAAGACAGCTGACACAATGCTGGCCCTATATGCAGACGACACTGCTATAGCCGCCAAGCATAGACGACCCGAGATCATCCGTAGGAGACTACAGGGTGAACTGGACCAAATTCAGGACTGGTGCGTGAAATGGAAAATCCGCATCAACGTCCAGAAGACGCAGGCAATCTTCATTCAACGAAGAAGGATTGCAAGACCTCTCGAAGCATCCATCTTCGATGAAGATATCCAGTGGAGCGACAATGTCAAATATCTGGGGATCGTTTTTGACAAGTCCCTCACCTGGAAAGCGCACATAGAAGCTGTCATCGCAAAAACCAGAGCAGCCATGGCTCAACTCTATCCATTACTGGGTAGACACAGCCAGATGCCGCTAGCGACCAAGCTACGGCTGATCAAGGCCATCGCCAGACCTCAGCTCGCTTACGCCTCCGCGGTCTGGGGGTACGCTGCCCCCAGCTACCGCAAGCGACTTGCTGCTCTAGAGATGAAGCTACTCCGGATCGCCACCAATGCACCTTCCTACGTAAGGAACTCAACCTTGCGTAGAGACCTGCATTGGGATACCATCCACGAGTACATGAGGAAAAAAGCGGAGAAGACCTTCGAGAAAGCTCAGGACCACCCGAACGAGCAGCTACGATTCCTCATGGACTACGATCCGGACGAGAGGCCTCGCAACCGCAGAACCAGGTACCCCAGACCAAGGTCCCAGTTGGCACCCGCTAACTGGAACCTTGACTAGGAGACTAGGAGAATTTGCGGCTGCTCCCCCCCCCCCCACGGCGTGGATGCAGAGGACCAGGAACCACCGGGACCAGGACCAACCAGGACCAGGACCCGCCACGACCAGGACCCACCAGGACCAGGACCCTTCAGGACCAGGACCAGGAACAACATATTGGTAAGATGACTTGAAACTCTTGATTTTTCGAAAACAAGAGTTTCAAGAGAAACTAGCAGACCCTCTATCGATGATCGCTTAACGACATCGATAGAATGTGCGAGGTAAAGGGAACCAACCCGGCGTTCCCAGAGACTGAAACACATGAGGAGACGTTGTAGCAGACCGCAGGTCACGCACAACACATGGCCTACCGAGACGCTGATGAGTCGGGCCACGCGGAGGTTTAGGGTTTAGTGGGTATTAGGTGATCTCTTCAAGACCCTGGAGCCCCACACACGTCGTAGCTCGTGCTATGGTATGGTGCGTAAATGCATTCCCCCCTCGTTAAAAAAAAAAAAAAAAAAAAAAAAAAAAAAACATTGCCATTCTATTCTATTAATTCGGTCAACGACAGCAGATTGTAGTCGTCGATTCGCAAGTCAAAAAAGAAAATAATAAACAAATAAACATGTCCGGACGAGGAAAAGGCGGAAAAGTGAAAGGAAAGGCAAAATCCAGGTCTAGTAGGGCCGGTTTGCAATTCCCTGTAGGTCGTATACACAGATTATTGCGTAAAGGAAACTATGCCGAACGCGTCGGTGCCGGAGCTCCTGTGTACCTTGCCGCCGTTATGGAGTACTTGGCAGCCGAAGTGTTAGAGTTGGCCGGCAACGCTGCTCGCGACAATAAAAAAACCAGGATCATTCCACGTCATCTGCAGTTAGCAATCAGGAATGATGAAGAATTAAACAAGTTACTTTCCGGCGTAACTATCGCCCAAGGCGGAGTTCTTCCGAATATTCAGGCTGTCCTATTGCCGAAAAAGACAGAGAAGAAAGCCTAAATAATAATAATAATAAGAAAATAACGTCAAAACTAGAAATCGGCCCTTCTCAGGGCCACACAATTCGTTTGTTGAAGAAAAAATAGAGATCATCGGATCAGGAAACAAAAAAAAAATCACGTAATATTTTGCCGATATTCCTTCATGCTGTTTGGGATTCAAGTAACAACAGCCCAATAACCGCATGATACAGTGTGATGTTACGTTTCTACGATACGGATCGTGACATGGAAAATGCAACAAATAATACCAATTCTTACTTACCGTAACATTTTATGTTTACCTAGCATCGATGGGTTGTGGAGCTCGACTATATGGAGATACCTTGGAGGGATAGTTACTTTCTAGAGGTACTGTCGGAATGATAGAACTTTATTCCAACGCAATTTTACATACAATGCCGCTAGTGTCTATAACGACAATCACGTTAACTCTCCCTCTCCCCCCCCCCCCTCTCTCTCTGTCTCACACATTGCTCTTCCCCCCACTCCTCAAGGGTATGAGGTTGCCTGGAACAGGGGTGGTGGAGGGACCGCACAGGGTAGGAGGGTGTGTGGTGTGTGTGCGCGCAACATCAGTTCCGAGCTAGCAGCCGTTGCGAGTGTATACTTGCACGACTGCGACACACCCGGACATATTGAGCAATCTTATTGCGATAGATTGGTTGTTTGTCATTTACGATGGCGAAAATTGAGAAGCTGGCTAACCAGCTGAAAGAGAAGAAAGATGCTGTCGCCATGCTGGCAGAGCAGATGCGAAACCTGCAAGAAGCCTTCTTGCAAGCACAACAGGAGATCGAGGACCTGAACGGGAAGCTCCGCAGGGCCACGAAGAAGGCCGCAAAGAAGACCGAAGAAGGCGAGGCAGAGGACCACCAGGCTACGTCGGACGAGATGGACGCTCAAGAAGAGGACACCCAACGGACCGAAGAGGATAGGACCACGACAGAGACAGCAAGCAACGACGACACCGATTTCAGTGTCGCCACCAGACGGAAAAAAAAAAGCGGGTGCGAATTTCCTCCTCCGAAGACGAGACGCCAAGGCAGCCAAAGATGCCAGCTGCCGCCACCAAGAACGAGTCCTAGAGCAGCCAGGACCGCCGATGCAAACATGTGCCAACTGATCCAGAGCTATCTAACACAAAGACGGTTCGCGGTGAGGATTGGTACATGCCATTCAACACGACGACAGCTGGTAGCAGGCGTGCTCCAGGAGTCAGCCTCAGTCCCCCCTGCTCTACAACATCTATACTCATGACGTACCGAAGACAGCTCACACAATGCTGGCCCTATATGCAGATGACATTGCTATCGCCGCTAAGCATCGACGACCCGAGATTATCCGTAGCAGACTACAGGATGAACT